TTGATTGTGGTTCGAATCCCGGATGTGGTGGCTTGCTTTCTCACTTTTCCTCTCTCTCTCTGTCTCTCTGGTGAGTGCATGTGTTCTATAGCAATTTTAAAAATAGTAACAATAATAAATAAAGTAATTCTTCAAAAAAAAAATCTAGCAAAAGTCTTGTCCTGTCTACTCTCTGTTTTGCACCATCTGCAATTTTTTTCTTTGCTTGAAATAATTATTTCATTTCACTTTATTATCCATTTATTTATTTTAATTTGACCAGAGAGAAAAAGAGAAAGAGAGAAGGCAAGCCACCAGGTTCAGGACTCGAACCACAGTCAGTCACGTGGGAGTCCAGCACCCTTAACCACCATGCTGCCACTGGCTGGCCCCCATCTGAAAAAAAAAATTAAGTAATTTATTTACTATTTAGTTTTGCCATAGGGTGCCTATGCCTGCTAAAAAGGGTGGATGACCACGCTGCAATCCCTTCTCCTCCATTGTCCTCTCAGGATTTGGGGCACGCACGCGCACACACCCTATATGATTTTTAAGCCGCCAGGTCTGGGACTCAAACCATGGTCGGTCACGTGGGAGTCCAGCACCTTAACCACCATGCTATCTGCTGGCCCTGCACCATCCGGAATTCTTTCCATTTAAGTGTGGAGAGAGCCCTGGGCTGTTTCCCAGGCCCAGGCTCTTTGGTTCTCTGGGGAATATTATTATTCCATGGGTTATTCGTGGCTTCCCCGGTGAATGAGCTGGTGTGACTAATAGGTTACTGTCACAAACAAGGTGGCCTCACTACCCTGGTGTAAGTGTCACTGCACACCGGGAATGGCTGCAGGATATAGTCTTGCAAGTAGGATTGCTGAGGCAAAAGGAAATGCCCTCGGGCCAGAGGTAGCATAGTGGTTAAGGCACTGGACCCCCACATGGTCGAATGTGGTTCGAGTCCCAGACCTGGCAGCTTGAAACTTATGCCAGGAACGTGTGTGTGTGTGTGTGTGTGTGTGTGTGTGTGTGTGTGCCCCCTTGAAATCCTGAAGGAGGAGAGAGGAGAAGGGATCGCCATGTGATTGTCCCTCCTTAGGGAGATTTCTCACTGTCTCTCCGGAGAGTGTACGTGCCCTATGGCAGGAACTTAAAACAAAAAAATAAAGGGGACCAGCAGTTAGCGTCATGGCTATGTCACTGAACTCCCACGTAGTCGACGGCAGTTCGAGTCCCAGACCCAGTGGCTTAAACTCATTCCGGGCTCTTGTGCGTGCGTGCCCAAGATCCCGAGAGGAGAATGGAGGAGAAGGGATTATGGCGTGGCCATCCCCCCTGGAGGCTGATTTCTCAGTTTCTGTCTCTCTGTCTGTCTGGAGAGTGCACGCGCCCTATAGCAAAAAACCTCTCCAGATAAACAAACAAATAAATAAATAAATAAAGTAAATTCCCTCGAGGGCCAGCCTGTGGCGTAGTTAAGCCTGCTGGATCCTAAATGGCTGATTGTGCAGTTCAAGTCCCAGGACCAGCAGTTTGAAAAACACGCCAGGTTGGTGTGTGCGTGCACGTCCAAAATCCCAAGAGGAGAAGGCATTGCAGCACGGCCATTCCTTCAGGGGGTGTTTTCTCACTCTCCCTCACTCTCTGCCTCTCTTTGGTGAGTGCATGGGCCTTACATGTTATCTTAAAAAACAAAAAAAAGGGACTCGAAATATTGACAGAATTGCCCTGTAAACAGGTTGTCTTTGCATCTCTAGAACATGTGGGAGAGCCTCTTTTTTTAAAAAAAAGTTGATTAGCTAATGAGTTTTATGTAGTAGTATTATTTTTTAATTTTAGAGAAAAAGAGAGGAGGGGAAGTGAGAGAGCAAGCTGCCAGGTCTGAGACTCGAACTGTGGTCGGCCACATGGGAGTCCAATATCTTTTTTTTTTTTTTTTGG